TGACATACCTCACAATCCTGGATAGTATCATTGGATTTAATAGATGAAAAGTCTGGTTCTTCACGAAGAATATCTTCGGGGAGATATTTTAGTATACTCAACGCAAGGGATTTAAGGGATCTGTCACGCTTAGGTTGTACTTTGTAAATATCACTGCTTTGGAAGTTGTCAGTTTGATCTTTTGTATCCGATTCCTCTGGCTCCTCTATATTGTTATCAACAGGAGTATTCGGACTTTCGACTCTAGTGGAGCTTTCTTGGTTTTCCATGGTAATGTTTTTTCAAAAAAAAAAGATAATATTTCTCGCTTATTTTATAGGGTCGCAGGAGAAAGATATTACCGGATTTTTATTAGAGGTCCCTTTTAGACCGGGCAATTACACACAGCATGGCATCATTTATTAGCGGACCCTTTAGGAGCAGGCCCTTGCAAATCAATAAAAAATAAGACTACTATACTCCCAGATAAGGCTACGATCGTCGCAAAACATGAAATAAATATGTTAATCCTATCTATTAATTTGATGATCCCAAAATTAAGCTGTATTAACATGCAGGCCTCTAATCATTCAATAAAGTCCTGTATCGCAACTAGACATTATTTCTAGATTTCTTACCCATTACTAGATAATTTGGCTGATTCAATAATTAGTTGATTTAACGGTAACAGAATAGGATGGATAACTTTTACATTTCACCCCCGCCTTCTCATTAATTCGAAGCCAGAAAACCATGTATCCTATCTTTTTTCGAATTTATGAGAAAAAATTGTATAAGTTTCTTCAGCAGAACTCGACTCGGATGTACTGGACTCAAATGATTTGGTCATAGCATCATATAGATAATTGATTTCTCGGGCAATGCTTTTTAGATTTTGATGTATTTTAGTTATATCACGTTCCAAATCCATAATAGACTCCTTGATATCCTCGACAGTGTTTATTTTTTCTTTTTCTGAATAATATGTATGCATTGTATATCAAACGTATTGATTTACTTAAGTAATATTTTTTATTTCATTTGCTAAAATTTTCACCTACACTATTAAACGAAAAAATAACTTAGTAAGAAGCTTTACCAAAGATGACTAGATTGCCATTGCTTTAAACATCTGCTCTATTTCATCATCTGACCTTTCGCGATTCTCCTCCTTAGCTATTTGATAATAAAGCTCATATAATTCCT